CCAAGGTCCACTCCTAGGATTATGTTCAACAACAGTCCACCACTTGAAATGCAAAATTGAAGATTTTTGTTGGGAGTTACTGCTGCTTCAAGAAACCTCGCCCTAAAACAAAAAAACAGCAACAAGCACTTGTTACATTTTTATCAGAAAAGAAGAGACAAATATAGAAGTCAATAAGGTTGACAAATTCATACCCCATCCTGTAGAAAGAGGTTTCTCAAGCCGTCCTGGGAATATAAAGCAGTATATTTTTAGAATGGCATTAATTAGGTTAAAATGCTTAAAATAGAGGAGTGTTGAGTTCTTACCTGGTCTGGAGGAACCCAAAGCAGGAAAATCATCAGATGATAAAGATGGGTTGGCAGCAGCATTGTGAAGGCTCAAGGCCCGAGCTAATGTTTCACCTCTTCCTGCAATTTGCATGAGTGATCAAATTAGTAAATTTCTTAAAAAGTTTCAGAACAGAAATTTGTTAAAAAAAATAAAAAATTAGAAAAAAAAATAAATTGAAAAACTTACCCCTGGTAGTGGGAAGCCTGACATTACTTGGTTCTGGCATGAATTCAGAAACCACATTTGCAGACTGGCCAGTCTGCAGAACCTAGAAAAAGGTTAAATTTGAAATTTACAGAGTAACAACAGCTAAATTAAAACCCAGACTTTAATGTCAATTATAACATACTCTTATCTGAGTAGGATCTGGGACTTTTGATCTATCAATAAAAAGAACCTCTTTGTCTATGGGTTGAGTCTATTGAACAGAGAAGTGAGATCAAAATACAAGCAAGAATGTCTAATCAATCTCCAAAGTTTCACCACTAACCTTAGCCTCGGTATGCATCCTTCCACCCCAAGCTCCAGCCGGAGGGTTCTGCGGACTTGTCCCTAAGGTAAGGTTTTTCAAATCACTGCTAACAGCACTTGCTGTTAGTTGTGATCTTTTTCTAGAATCGTTATCCATGTATGACAAGGACTGTAAGTATAGACTCAATCACTACTAATAACTTTCAATAAGAAGAAGACACAGAGAATTATGATATACTCACTACTTTAGCAGATGAGATGCAGTGCTTTCCCGGGACCAATTTAATTTGCATAGCTTTACAGCAAAATTCACAAATTAAAAAAACCCATCTTTGGACAAATGACTTGCTACAGTTGTGGTAGAGGTCAGTATTTGCGTGAAACTGTAACAGGAATAGGTAGATAGATAACTTTCGGTAGTTGTGAACTAGCAACTCATTTACATAGCACAGTGGTCTGAGATTGCAAAATACCAGTCCTAAATTATCTACCACAGAACTAAACTAACACTACAAGTAAGGCTACCAGAGGGGTTGAGTGGACTCCATCCACTTCTGAGAAAAAATCTGAAAAGCAAGGGCTGGACCCAATTTAGTGGAAATGGTCCCATTTGAAGTGGCTTATAGCATTGCATGGGGACAAAAAGGCAGAAACCGAGGGTGAAATGTGAATCCTCTAAGAATACGGAACAATATCTGTAAAACTGCCTAAGTGCACATTGGCACTTTTGAATGCATTTCAAATTTCGACTCCCAGACCTCTGAGCATGGCACACCTGCATGAATTAACAAAAATTATCAGTAACTCTTTATTACCTCGCAGGTGATTCCTTCAGCGAAATTGTATATGTCTCTATTCAACTGCTGGTGCGCAACACCCTGAACAATGAAAGCTTCCTCCTGATCATCAAACATTTTGACTGCCATATCCTGGCACACTTCATAGAACTTAAAGAAAAAGAGGGAGAGATCATAGAGACGGAAACTCTCATCTGTAAACAGATTATAAAAGAACAAACAGGTAGTCAAGTTACTTTGGAACCCTCAAAATTACAATTTAAAAACTCTAGCAACTGTACATCTACATCAACAAAGAAACATATTTCAAATATCAGACAAAGACAGCCAGGGCAAAGACAGGGCTTAGTAATCAAAAAAAGGGACCACCAACAAGGAATTTGCTCTGAAAGCAGTTTCACTATCTTGGGTGTGGGGCAAAAAGCAAAGGAATTTGAGGGGTGGAGTGGTGGAGTAACTGCCGGGGAGAGAGAATCAAGCACAAAGTTTCCCCTTGGAAACAGAACATTTTAAATCAGAAAGACGTAAGTACCAGACACATACCAGAATAAATTGACACATCTTCCAAAAAACTTCTGGATGCCATCTCATAGCAATTAGTGTTTGCATCATCTCCACTCATAGTGAATATTAGTGGAAAACCAGTTGTCCCCCTCACCTGTAAATGTAATAGGCTATAGATAGATATATCTTAGCTCCTCAAAATAAATGCCAGCAACAAACTTACCTCCAAAAAGTTGAACACTTCCCGCCTGATCTTATCCCAGTCTCTTTCTACAAGGTCAAAATCCCTTGGGTCAGGAATATTATGAACCGAATCAGTGTTTTGTTTCACTTCATACCTGTAGCCTAAAGGAATATCACCTGAAGAGGGGGGAGAGGGGAAAGAGGTTGTAAAAAAAATGACATGATGCTAAAAAAAAATAAAAAATAAAGCATTAAACCTGCCATTGGTATCATGGGGGGCAGGGAAGACATGATAGGTGTCCAAAACTCCATTTGTCAGGTTAAACTTGGAAATAGCCACTTCAGCCGGGATGTATTTCTTTTTTTCCCCCCAATAGCAATACACATTAGTATGAATCAAGTAAAAACAATGATTTTTGAGGGCTGGAACATGCAAATAGATTTTAGTGACAGTTATACAAAATAAATAATTTGATTTAGAAGGAATTCAGTTGCACAACATACACGATCCATCACAATCCTTGGTAGCTAATGCAGCCAACATGTTATCAATATCAGAGTACATCTTCTGATTAGCAAGTTCTTGCTCTCTTTTAGCATTATCAATCTGCGTATAGGGTACACCGAGAGAATTAAATTTGTTTGCTTTGTCATCCTTGTCTTGACCTTTCGCCTCTTTTTCCATTTGTTTATAAATCCGCACATTGTGTTCAGGTAAATGCTAAAGGCAAATAAGGCAAATTACATGTAGTAATGATCAAATGTCAAATAATTTTCGTTCTTTGATACAGTTACAGTTTCCATGCATACTTTCCAGTCTTCAGAGCAAAGTGCTGTCACCTCAAGAAGATTTTTGAAACGTTGGCCTTGTTCTTCTTTTTCTTTCTTCCAGTCCATCATAAAGAAGAAAAATGCATTTCTAGGCTGCTTCTTCTTTTTAGGTGGCATTCTAAGGCAATGAACAGGTCTGTAAACACAAGTCAGTGATTTGAGTCTATCATAACCCTATTACTACCGTAAAATCAAGGGCATAAGTCCACTTTCTGAGTCACGCATTTCAAAGAATAAGTGTCAGCAGGAAAATATCAACAAACTCAACAGGTCACCTAACCTAAAAAAAAAACGATGTAAAGAAAACGCATCGAAATCTTCAACATTCAATAATTTCTAGAAAATAAGACAGAGACCGTTGTTAATTTGAAAATCAAGGAAGGATACCCTCTGGACTAAAGTGAAAGCTAAATTTTTAAGTGAAGCCTCCCTCAAATAGTTTGTAGGAGAGGGAATGACAAAGCTGGGGTTTTAGAGTGACAAGGTTAGAGGCGTCGCATGGATGAATATCCACATTGTCGTATTGGGAGGTCTCTAGAAAAATAGAACGGGATAGCTAAACTTATCCACAACTCAAGAAATGATCGCAAAATTAGAATTCTGAACCTTACGAGCGAGAGCTGCTCAAAGTATGTAGCATTCTGTTTAATTATTAGGGCAAATGAAGAACAAGCTACGCATATTTTCTGTTTCAACATTATGCCTCTACATCGATTATTACTCTAGACTCCAGAAATAATACAATATGACTTAATGCACGATAATCATACCCTTTTGAAATAGAAGTGAGTAGTCTCCTCCCCCTCACATACACACTGTACACCTTGTGTACACTGACGCACTGACGACACGGGCACGGACAGCAGCAGCAGCACGCCAGTTGCCAGAAACCGACGGCCCAACCCGCCAGATCCTCGGCCAAAACCCGCCAGATCGCGCTGCTTTCCCGCTAGATCGGGGGGGAGAGGGCTGGTGGGGACCCCCCCACCCTACTACGCTCCGCCAATGGGCTGCGCTGAGCCCGCGGCAGCGGGAACTTTTGAATTTCGACCGAAAAAGTTCTTCAAAATCATTGATTTTTGGACCGAAAAATCGAAAATCTTCCCGCTGACGACCAGATTTTCCCGCTGTGAGGTCTCAAATCCCGCCAGATCTGGCGGGAAACCCGCTGTCCTGGCAACACTAAGTCGCAGGATGTGAAGGCACGGCTCTTTTGCCTGTGTGTGAACACATACACACACACACACACACACGCGCGCGCGCGCGCGCGCGCATACACTCCACTCGGGCAGGGCAGGGATTTGGGGGCCGTTCACAAATGACGTCACGCACCCTTAGGGGGGGGGGGTCCTAACGTGACCAAATGTGACCATAGGGGGGAGGGGGGTAAAGGCTTGTCACGTCACGCCTTTCCTACTTTGCATTGTCTGTTTAAAATACGCCAATTCTACCCAGTCATAGGTATTTTTAACAAAAAATTGTAGCACAGACCGATCAACCGAGGTCATTTAACAGATTTTTGAAAGTAAAATGTAGCGATTCGATCCTACTGATTAACTTTCGGAGCAAGAGAGAAAACATGAAACTTGAAAGAAATCCCCGGTTTTAGGTAAACATGCCTATTTGTGACGTCACGCCAGGGTGGGGGGGTCGGCCAAACCGTGACGAAATGTGACAATAGGGGGGGAGGGGGTCAAAAATAAGCAAAAACCCCTGATGAGACGACACGACGTTTTTCGAACTAAAACGCGACGTCGTGTGTCGGTTGTGTTTTGACACAACACGACGGGGAGATGACGTTGTACACGACTACCCTGGGGAAAAAAGTAAGTGGCAAAGTGCAAGTGAAGTGGCAATTAAGTGTCACTTGGTTGCCCCCTTGCTAAGGTGGCATTTAAGTGGATTTTGACATTTTAAGTGGCAAGGTGGCGAAGTGCCAAGAAGGAGGTGAAGCGGTAAGGAGGAGGCAGAGTGGCACCCGAGTGGCATCAGTATCCATATTTTTCGCACATATGTCTAGTTGTACCGAGGTCCCCCAGGGGACTCTCTGTTCAAAAATCGGGGGGGGGGGGGGCTGACCGTCCAACCCCGGCCTTACGCCTGTCCGGCAGCCTCATATGACTAATCGAGCATGGCGGATCATCAGCGAGAACGAAGAGCACCGCACTTGGTTCCCACCTTGCCACTTTGGCTCTTTATGGCCACTTCAACACTTAGATGCCAGTTAAGTACTTCTTCGGAAAATTCTTGGTTGCCACTCCGCCACTTTCCTCTTTCTTGCCACCTTGCCATCTGAATACCACTTAATATACACTTTGCCACTTAATTGCCCTTTGGTTGCTTACAACCACTTAACTTCCACTTCAGGGGCTCTTCGCCACTTACTTTTTTTCCCAGGGTAGGATCGGACTTGTAGGGTCAAGTAAAGGAGTTTTGTCTGACCGAAATACGACGTCAGAGTGTAGCCTTACTTTTATATGCCAAAACATTTGTAGATTGAGAGTAGTTTCTAAACTGTGCTCGGCTTGCCAAGATCTAAAAGAAGTGGGTGGGCT